TTGAACCGCCAGCCTTCTGGTTAGCAGTCAAGTGCCTTAGCCACTATGCTACCAGTAGCCATCCATAAATGAATACCCACTGATGGAGACATACTCCTTACAGGGCACAGACAACACATTCTTAAAGGCCAAGAGACACAAGAAGGGAGAGATCTTTCTCTGTCTTGTCTGTATCCCATCCATTCATCTTTATCCATCCATCTTCTAAACTAGACAGAGAACTACACCTTTTGTTTCATTCTGAGAATAACAAAACTTCATGCCTTAGTGGCATTTAGCACAAGGGATGAGTTCAATAAATACCTGTTTATACTTTTGAAAGCACTCTCCCTCAGCACCCTAGGAAAGCAGGGCCCATATTTGTTTTGCTTATATCTGTACCGTAATAGCAAATGGGGAGATCTGGTAGCGTAGTGCCTAAAGCCCTTGACTGCTAACCAGAAGGCGGGTGGTTCAAACCCACCAGCCACCCCTGGGAAAGAAGGTTCGGCAATCTACTTCCGTAGTGATATCGCCTTGGAAACCCAAGGCGGGGTCTTTATGAGTCAGGTCTGACCCCATGGCACATAACACCCACCACCATATTGCGTTTAGATTATTACTGACCCATGACTGTCATACAGATAAGGCACGCACTGTGTTTCCTGCATTATAAATATAGAAAAGGTTCAGAGGAGTTAAATGGTGAGTCAAACGCAGGCCCAGGAGTAAAGTCTGGGTATCTCTATATAGGAAATACGGTCAGGCTCCAGCCTGCAGACCTAGTGCGAATCCAAGTTTCGCATGTGGAGGACTTTCGGCAATTAACAAACATTTCTCAGCTGCCTATTTCAAGATACAACGCTTGGGGAGAATTAATCAAAGTACTCCGTGTGCAGAGTCATCGAACACAAACTGAAGCCTGGAGGCGAATTGTAACCAATTGAAAAAGCCCCAGACCGACCGCTAAACCCACAGAAAAGAGATTTTCACAGCCTTAGGGCGCCAGGACATTCTCTCCTTTTTAACAGGCCTGCACTTCACGGGCGCTTTAAGAAGTTACCCCAAACACACAAGCGCGCCAGTTTCTCCGGCGCTCGAGGCCAGGCCTTGCTTCTCCGCCCCATCCTCATTCATTCCAGGCCAAGGGCCAGCACCCTGCGCTTTAGTGGGGTGCGAATGGAAAGGGCCAACCGCCCCAGGCATGGTTTTCTCTTCGCCCATCCCACCCCTAGGGCGGAAAGGGAAAATCCCGGATCCAGCAGGCAAACAAGCCCAGGGGACGTGGTGAACTCCAGGGGCCACGGACTGTTCTCGGAGCTGAGCTTCCGGGGTGGGGAAAACCGAGTCCAGAGGAGTTGCGGGTTTGGGCGAACTTCGCCCGGGCCTACTGACCTGTCAGGCCCCACTGTTTTAGGTCCTGCTGGTCCACTCGCGCCCGGGTCGCCTCGGTTCTGTACTTAGTTTGAAGAGCCACCAGGAAGTCGGGCATGTTGCATTCGCGAGTCCGGGCGCCGACGCGCTCCAACCCGCCAGGAAAGGCTCCACCCCGCGCGACCCTGCGAGGGTTTCCTTTCTAATGCGCCGGGCCTCAGCGACTTGCAAGGTCTTAAACAGGCGCAGCTGCCGCCAGAGGGCGCTTCCTACGCCGATTTCTGGACCAGAGCGGGGCGCGCTGTGCTAAATTACTGTACAGGTTCATGCAGGAATTCTTGTATTGCGGGGAGTCGTTAGAGCCGCTCGGTTCTCACTCACTGTGCTTATGCGCGTTCAAGTCGTGATTGCCTGAAATCCTTATCGGAAGGTCGGCTTCTGCTTGTTGTTAAACATTGGTATTTGCCAGGTAATCTACTCTGGTAGTATAGTGGCTAAGGCACTTGACTGCTAACCAGAAGGCTGGAGGTTCAAACCCACCAGCCACTCCTTGGAAGGAAGGTTGGGCAATCCTACTTCCATAGTGATACTGCCTTGGAAGCCCAAGGAGGGGTCGCTATGAGTCGGGGCCGACTCGACGGCACATAACAACAACAACTACCGGGGGTTATGGAGTTCAATAAGGCATCGATCCTGCCCTCCAGTAGACTGTAAGGAATAGAATAGCACGTCAGTTCCGTTAACACTGGTAATAACTTGGTTTATGTCCTGAGATCTCCTTGTTACCTCTTAGCTGTATAGCCAAGATTAAGAATCCCTGAACATTAGTAAAGGCACGAGTGATGTCATTGTTCGCTGCAATGAAATTCTCAAATGGATTATGGGGAGCAGATTGAAGCAGTATATTAGGTTCGGGATCACCATGGCTAGACGCCAGGTTTGACTGGATTTATGATAACATAGTATACACTAAAATGATACAATAAAAATAACAAAATAGCTGCATTTATTAATTGCTGTTAATAGGAGCTGTGGTAGTGCAATGGTTAAGGCATTCCGCTGCTAACCAAACGGTTGGTCGCCAGCTGGAACCACCAGCTGCTCTTCTCTTCAGGAGAAAGATGAGGCAGTCTGCTTTTCTAAAGATTTACAGCCTTGGAAACCCTATGGGGCAGTTCTACTCTGCCTTACAGGGTCACTTAGCCGATGGCAGCAGGTACCCTGAGGACATTACATATATTTTCTCATTTAATCCTCACAAAAATCCTATAAATAGGTATTATAATTGTCCCCATACTAGAGATGAGAAAACAAATTTAGAATGTTAATTGGCAAAGCTTGAACAAGAACTATAGTATCCTCTGGGTAATGTCATCAGAACACCATTCCCAATTAACTTAGTCTTGGTGGCCCCATCTTCAGTTAGGTTAAAGTTGCACTTCCCCCTCAACATCACTTCCCATTAAAATAAAAAGGAGAAATTAGTTGTGAACTACAAAAGGAATAGCTTCAAACTGGTTTATTCATTTAAAAAAAAAAACTGTGTTGTTTTAGAAAGTTAATTTTGTGTTTTGACTCATTCAGTAAATACTGATTGAGCACCTACTATGTGCCAGGCGCTTTTTTTTGACACTGAAGAGATAGGCCACTAATCTCATGGAGTTACATTTTAACAAGACAGACAATAAATAAAAATCAGGTAATAGTCAATGTTAAGATGAAAGTGAAGCAGGGTCATGTAATATGACTATACTGATTATGCATAGCATCCTTCCTACTTGGGTGTTTTCTCAAAGCCTTAAGATACATTTGTATCTTTTGCTAGCTTCTCTGAAAGGGGCTTCTGTCTCACTGCTTACAGTCTGGTCTTTGTAATTTATTTAATTTATTTCCTCCCCTACAAGCTCTGTGAGTAGACATCCAACAAAGTAGCAATATTAACCATCTGTCACTTTAAAAAAAAAAAAAGCATTAATTATTTTTTGTAATAAAGTACATTTTTAAAAAATTGTGCTCTAGGTGCAAATTTACAAAGCAGATTTGTTTTACATTCTACAATTCATGCACATTTAATTTCACAGCCCCAATTACGATCCCCAACAATAAAAAAACTCTCCTCCCTGTGACTACACCCTCCCTGTGCCCTTCTTATCTACGCATCCCTGTCTGTTCAGGTTTCCCTCTGTGTGAATGATGCCCTTCTGATGTCTCATGGCTGATCGATCCAAAAGGTGCATCTCCCTGGGGTAGGTGGGTATATCTCTCTGGGGCAGGTGTTTTGCATGTAGGTCTTTCTACTGTTGGGCTGAGAGCCAAACCAGGGAAGTGAGTCCATTTCTAGGCCCAAAGGATAACTGGGGCCATAGTCTCAGAGGTTCCTCTGAGAGGTTCCAAGAGTCTCTATCCAATGAGTAATTCTGAAGTACATTTATTTTAACATAGTATCAGAGAAGCTAAGTCAACTGTTGGTACAGTATATTGAATCTGGCATCTAAAATACAGCTAAGAAAGGTAGCTGAAAGCTCCAGATTATTGGTGAGGTGACACTATAAAAGGTTCATTCTGGATGGTACGTGAAAGGAATCTGTAGAGTAGAAGCAGGGAGACCAATCAGGAGATGGCAGTTGTTAACCCAGCATGGTGGCAATGGAGTGGTGAGATACTAGATACCGAAAAGGCGGAATCTAGTAGATTCACCAACAGAAAGTGTGAGCAAAGGAGAGAAGCGAAGAATGATTTCAGAGATTTGGGCTGAGCAACTGGTAGAAGAAAGTTCCCACTGTAGGGATGAGAAGGTTTGGGGAACATCAAGAATTCATTTTTGGACAGGGTAGTATGAGATGGTAATTAGATTTCCCAGTAGAGATTTTAGAGGCAGTGAGGTAGGATGTGAACTAAGAGCATGATGTCCCCAAAGCCAAATGAAGAGGTGTCAAGAAGAGAATGATTGTGTCAAATGCAGCTGAGTGATGGAGTAAAGATAGGACAGAGGACTAACTACAGAACTGGGCAATATAAAGGTCATTGATGACTTTGACAAGAGCGATTTCTGTGTATTAGTAGAATAAGTAGGAGCTGGTTAAAAAGGGAATGGGAGGAAAGAAATTGGAGACAGAATGACTCAAACCTTTTTCAATGAGTTTTGCTGTCAAATGGAGCAGAAAACTGGGAGAAGTAACTGATAGGTGATATGAGATTCAGTGGTGAGGGGTATTTTGTTTTAAGATAGCTGATAATCTGGCATGTTGGATGCTAATGAGACTGATCCAGTACAGAGGAAAATGAGAGGATGCAGTGAATGACAGGAAGTGGGATCCAGTGCAGAAATGGAGGGTTGGCCTAGATAGGAACATAGACATTTCAACGTAGAAGACACAGAATACGGATGCATTTGGTGATGGGAGCACAAGGAAGATCTCTCCTGATTATTTCTGTTATACATGTGAAATAAGACACAGGTCATCATCTGAGCATGAGGGAGCAACTTGGAAGATTGAGGAGGGAAAAGTGTCACATAGCTATATAGAGTCAAAACTCACTCCCGTCAAGTCGGATCCAACTCAGCAACTGCGTCCTTGGGTTTCCAAGGCAATATCACTATGGGAGTAGGTTGCCCAATCTTCCTTCCAAGGAGTGGCTAGTGGGTTTGAACCGCCAGCCTTCTGGTTAGCAGTCAAATGCCTTAGGCACTACGCCACCAGGAGAGTATATTAACTGGAACGTATTGCCAAGCACAGTGAAGACCTATTTGAAGTTTATGGTCATAAAACCAATCAGCATATTGTGTGTTGGGTGCAGGTGGGGTGTAAGTAGAGAACTGGATTTTACCAGGGTTGCATTTTTGCCAGGTAAGTACAATAAAGAGTGAGTATACTGGCCATATTCCCAGTGCCAAAATAGAGATAGATGATGCAGATAAGATCCCAGCACTTTTGCAGTTTAGATTTTGGTGAAGGTGAAAAAAAGGGGGGAGACCAGGAGGGACAAGTTATCAGGTAATGTAAATGTTAAGAAGAGAGTAAAATAGGGTAACAAGAGTGAGGAAGTAGGCCTGGAGAGCAACCCTGGATAGAATGGTTTGAATAGAGTGTCACTAAAAAGATGTCATTTGAACTCAGATCTGAATGATGACAGGAATGTTATGTGAAATCAGGAAGAGATTTAGAGCAGAGAGAGACACAAATACAAAGACACTGAGGCAGAATTAGCAAGGAAGTAATAGATTTTAAAGAGCCCTGCTGGTACAGTGGCTAAAATTCTTGGCTGCTAACCAAAAGTTCAGTGATTTGAAGCTATCAGCCTCTCCACGGGAGAAAGATGTGGCAGTCAGCTTCCATAAAGATTTACAGCCTTGGAAACCCTATTGGGCATTTCTGTTCTGTCTGTAGGGTCACTATGATTGAGAATTGACTCGACAGAAGTGAGTTTAATAGATTTTAAAAATTAGTAGGGAGTACCCTTAAGGGGACTTGACCATTGTTTGGATATGGAACTGATATCATCAAGTCTGTTTTGAATAATAGTGACCTCATGTACAACAGAAGGAAATATTTCCTGGTCCTGTACCATGCCCAGGCTTGGAGGCTGCTTTTCACTTAGGGGTGGCTCTATATTAAGGCCAGGGCCTGAGGTAAGCAGGCCTAAGGGTGGGGGCTGGTTTTCGCTTGGATATGGCTCTGTATTAAGGCCGGGGCCTGAGGTAGTCAGGGCTGGGGCTTGGAGGCTGTTTTTCACTAGAATGTGGCTCTTTATTAAGGCTGGGGCCTGAGGTAGGCTGGCCCGGGGCTTGGGAGCTGCTTTTTCCTTGGGGATAGCTGTATTTTAAGGCCAGGGGCCCAAGTTAGGCAGGTGCAGAGGGGTTAGGAACAACTAAGTGAGATGAACTTCTCTGTCAGTTTGTTGTCCTGTGGTGGCTTAGGTGTTGCTGTGAGGCAGAAGGCTATACCACGGTGTTACAAAATACCAGCAGGGTTACCCATGGTGGGCAGATTTCAGTGGAGCTTCTGGCCTTAGACAGACTCAGAGGAAGGAAGAGGCCACCCATTTCTCATAGAATTGGCCAGTGAAAACCTTATGAACAGCAGTGACACACTGTCTGATACATTAGTGGAAAACTTT